CTGCTTGAATCTTTCACAAGGCAGGTAGGTAGATAATCCAGCTGAGTTTCCATGTATCACACATGGAAAGTGACTCACCCAAGTTCACACACTTCCTAGACTGGACCTGGACCCTGCTTTCTCAGTGAGTTATCTTACCACCCCCTTCAAACACCTCTAAATGTCCACTCAATACAGCACCTTCATTTCCTGGCTAATGAGTTCTTTGCTTGTCTTGTCTTACTAGATATATCAAACTCCTTGAGAGTAGACACCACCTTTGAGTGTTTGTTGGATAAATGAATGAATTACTCAAAGCACAAAACCTGACCTAGGATTATGGCCATGGCAGTAGGGCTCAGAAAGTTCCTATGGAAATGGCATAAATGAATTTACACTTGAATCTAAACTCATCTGGATTCTTCCCAGGGGGCAAACTTCCAGCTGATTGATTAATTGATGAATTTATTTAGTAAACAATTGAAAACCTCCTTCTACTTTCAGGATAAGTTTCTAAGTAGCAACCAAGAGAGTCAAGAAATACAATGGACAAAAACCCAATCAATAAATAAGACTTTAACACTTCGTCAAATTCTCTGGTGTAAATGAATGGAACAAAGTGACTAGATGTAAAGAGTAGGATGCCTGGGCTTCAGAAAATTCTCAGGAATTATTTGTCTGAGCAAGTGACTTGAGCTGAGACCTGGCACATGATATTGTCATTGAGTTGAGTACAACTCACAGTGACACTATGAACAACAGCTCTAAACCCTGTTCTATCTTGTGCTATTTACATAATCTTGGATACGCTTGACCCCATTGTTACGGTCACTGTCTCAATTCATCTCATTGAGTGTCTTCTTCTCTCTTGTAGACCCTCCCTCATTCTAAGCATAATGCCTCTCTCCAAAAAATAGCCTCTCTTAGCAACATGGCCAGAGCATGTAAGATGAAGCTTTGTCATCTTTGCCTTCAAGGTGTATTCTGGTTGCACTTTTCCCAAGGCGTATTTGTTTGTTCTTTTGGCAGTCCATGGGATATTCAGTACTCTTCTCCAACACCACAGTTCGAACGTGTCAGTTTTTCTTCTTTCAATCCTTATTGTTCACGTCTCAGATGCATAGCAGCAAGTGATGGAAAAGAACGTAGTCTGAATCAGGCACATCTTCATCTTCAAATTGACATCATTGCTCCTCAGTAATTTGGAGAGACCTCTGACAACAGACTTGCTCAATGCAGTACATCTCCTGATCTCTTGACTGCTAGTGCCAAGATTGTTGATTGTGAATCCAAATAAGATGAAGTCCTTGACAGTTTCTATCTTTTCTCCATCTATCATGATGTCGCCCATTGATTTAGTGCTGGGGATTTTTGTCTTCTTGATGTTGAGATTCAATCCATCTTGAAGGCTATCTAGTCTTTGAGCTTCTACAGCAAGTGCTTCCAGCCCTATTCACATTCAGCAAGCAAGGTTGTGTTATCTGAACAATGCAGATCGTTGGTGAGTCCTCCTCCAACCCTGAGGCCATGTCCTTTTTCATAGAGTCCAGCTTCTCAAATTATTTGCTCAGCCTCCAGATTGAATAGCTCCTAGATGACGAGTCACTATAAAAGTTCTGGTTTGGCTAATACAGCTAGAACTGGGACAAATGTCACACTGAGATGTTGGTACACAAAGTCCATATCCTGGAGTGGACTTGGGCTTATGCTCATTGCTAGAACAGTAGGAAGATACTGAATGGGAAGCGTGGAGATAACATGTTCTGAAAGTTAGGCTGGAGAGACGGCAGCAGAGATGGAGAATGGGTGGACTGGTGGTAGACTGAAGGTGGAAGGTGAGGTAGGAGGAGCCCTGATGACAGGCAGAGCCCTCCTAACCTTATGGAGTGGTCACAGTCCCTGGGAGAGGAAATACCCTGGAGAGGATGGAGGAAGATTTCACTGAGGATACAGGAAGAGCTGGGCATCAGGACATTAAGTCTAGTCCAGGGCCTCTGTGAACTTGTTGTTGATTGCCTTTGAGTCGAGACGACTCATCGCGACCCTATGAACAAAAGGCCCGAAGCCCCTCTACAACCATCGACAGTTATCAAAGTTCATAGAGTTTCTGGAGGCACGTTATTTAGGAAGTGGATGCCACTCCTGCTTCCAAACCTGTCATAGTATGTTATTGTTGTTATGTGTCATTGAGTCGCCTGTGATGTATAGCGACCCTGTGTACAGCAGCTCTGAACCCTGCCCTGTCCTGAGCCAGTCTCACTAACTCTGACACACCAGTCCCCATTGCCCCAGTTACTGTATCAAGACATCTCATCTGGGGTTTTCCTCTCCACCTTTCCGAGCATGATGTCCTTCTCCAAGGATCGATCTCTCATGACCACGTGCCCAAAATAAGTGAGGCAGAGCTTCAAAATCCTAGCCTCCAAGGAGAGACCTGGTTTCGCCCTCTCCAAGACAGACTTATTTGTTTCCTTGGCAGTCCCCAGTATGTTCAACAGTCTTCTCCAGCACCACAACTTGAAGGCGTCTATTCTTCTGACACCCTTCTCTCTGAAGCATAATAAGTAATTGGGAAAACTTGGGAGAGTCCCTTTCTGCGTGTGGAGTCAGGCTGGTTATCTCTCAGGGCCCAAGCATTTCAACTCCAGCGTTCTCAGTCCATGTTAGGACAACTGAATGGGGAAGTGTCAGAGGAGATATGTAGAGGCTGATTTCGCAGAGTAACGGCCTAGGTCCCTATCTCCTGGGCCGCTCACCTCAGGAATGGTGTTAGCCTTTTCACCACCTCTTATCTGTCCCACAGAGATGTTGGCCAAGCCAAGCTATCAGGCCGTTATTCAGCTCTGAGGGTCTAGCCCTGGACTTCATCACCTTACTGCTGAGGGCAGGGAGCTTGCTCTTAAGCAGAACTTGCTACTAGGAGCTTCCTCATTTATTATGGTCTAAAGAAAAGGGTGATAGAACCCGTGAGCTGGATCGAGTCTCTCCTTACTCTCTACCCCTCTCTCCTACTTCTCTGGCCTTTGGTTATTTTGCAGCAGGTCCTCAAACCTGTTTCTGTGGGCCACTCTTCTTAGCATCTCCCCTCCACTAGGGCCATCAATTAAAAATTTCATCCTGAGGGTCTGGGGAGGAGAGTGGTAGTGAGGGCTACTCCACTGTGCTTCACCAACGAACGACTGTCAATGTAGCAATTTAAAATACCACTTACATTTCACGGTTCTGTGGGTCAGAAGTCTGGGTACAGTGTGGCTAGGTTTTTCCGTTTGGGGTCTCCCAAGGCAAAGATCAAAGGACCACTTGAACTGCATCCTTATCTGAAATTTCGGGTTCCCCAAGCTCACAGCGTTGGGGCAGAATTCAGTTCCTTGCTGTTGCAGGACTGAGTTTGCAGTGGCTGGTTCTTGTCCGAGGCACATTCAATGACTAGAGACTCTTCTTTCCTGGCCACGTGCCCCCACCATTTTCAGTGCCAGCAATGGAGAGTCTCCATTCTATCCCATTCCCCAGCGACTTCAGGAAGCATCCAGACCTCTTTAAAGGCTCATCAAATTATGTCAAACCCACCTGGGATAATCTCCCTTTCTTAAAGGTCTTTGTGTTATATAACGTCATCTAATCATGGAGTGAAATTCATCACACCCACAGTCACAGGGCACATACACCAGAGGTGAAGGCGGAGGGAAGCCAATCTTAGAATTTTGTAATCACATGGATCATACCGATTTCCTTGGGAAAGGATGGTGAGAGGTCATTCTGAATTATTCAAAAAGAGGACAAATCTTCCAGCAAAGCTATGGTTCTTTGCCTTTTATGAGGGTCAAAATAAATCCCATGAAAAGTTTGAGTCCTCACCTTAGATCCCTTGATGGTTCATAACAACAAAAACAAGAAGACTACAACAATATTCATTATATTTGAGTAACAGTGAACTTCATTTGGCTTTCGAGCTGTGGTGTTGGGGAAAAGTGAATATTCCATGGGCTGCAAAAAGGACAAACAGATATGTCTTCAAGAAAATTCAGCCAAAGGGAGCTCTGATGGCCTAGTGGCAAGAAGCTGCACTGCAATCCCAGAGATGTGCGGTTTGAATCCACCAGATACTCTGCTGCAGCAGGAGGGACAATCTCCTCCTGTACCAGTCAAATCTGCTTTGACAGTACACGCACAAAAATTAATAAAATAATTTTTTTTAAAAAAAGAAAATGCAGCCAGAGTGCTCCTTGGAGGCCAGTATGGTGAAGCGCTGTCTCACATACTTGGGACATGTTGTAAGGAGGGACTATTTCTTGAAAAAGGACATCAGTATTAGAAAGGTGGAGGGTCAGTGAAGGAGACAACCCTCAACCAGGTGGATTGACACAGTGACTGCAGCAGTGGACTCAAATATGCCAGAGATGATGAGAATGGCACAGGCCAGGACAGGGTTCAGATCTGTTGTCTGTAAGGTTGAGTTGTACTCAACTTGATGGCACCTAACAACAATGCAGACATAGAGTAAAAGCCATTACACTCACAATGGCAGGACATGTATCCCAGGGGCAGGGGTGGGGTGAGGACAGTCTTAGAACTCAGCCCTCACAAGGACCGCACAGATTTCCGTGGTGGAGAATGATGGGAGGCCTTTCTTAGCCATTCAATAAAGAGGACAGATCATCCAGTGAAGTTAGAGTTCTTTGTGTTTGTGAGCATCACAAGGAGTCCCATGACACGTTCGGATCCCCAACCTTGATCCTTTGCATTACATGTTGTCTAAGACGGCAAGGTTCATAGCCCTGTGATGCCTACTCATAATTTGTTGGTTGATAAGCTCTAGTGCAAAGGATGAGGGAAGATACGGGTGAAGGGCAGGACTGGCTGGTGTGAGTCAGGTATCAGAAACTGTAGTTTTATAACTGTAAGCTGTCCTGTTGGGTGTAAGGTGGGACTTACATCAGATTTCTCTGACGTCTCCATCATCACCAAGGAGACCTCTGGCTGTTGCCCTGTGCATACATGGTGTCTATGCCGCTCGGCAGCCCCTGATGTGATGAGACAGGGTCCTCAGTGCTCAGTCTCCCCTTGGACACACTGTACAAAGAGTTACAGCAAGTTTTCCCCCTAACCTTACAGTGGGAATGAGCCCTTGGGGATGAGATTGTTGTTAGGGTCAATTAGCTGGTTCTGACTCATAGTGACCATACATGCACTAGAATAAAGCACTATCATTTCTACACCCTTCTCACAGTCTTCACTAGATTAAAGCCCATTGTTACAGCCATTGTGTCAATTCCTCTTGAGAAGGTCTTCCTCTTCTTCCCTGACCCGCTGCTTTACCAACCACGATTTCCTTCCTGAAAGCATGTCCAAATCAGGGGAGACAAAGTCATCCTGACTTCTATGGAAAATTCTAACTGTACTTCTAAGAGAAATGAGTTTATTCTTCTGGCGATCCACCCTGTATTGAATATTTTTCACTGAGACCACAATTCAAAGGGATTCATTCTTCTTTGGCCTTCCTTATTGGTTGTCAAGCTTTCACACGCATATGAGGTAATTAAAAATACTGTTTGCTTGGGTCAGGTGCACCTTAGTCTCCAAAGTGGTATATTTGCTTCTTAATACTTTAAAATGATCTTTCACAGTAGGTGGGGAGGCTTGGTGGCAAAGTGGGCTACACATTGAACTGTTAACAAAAATATTCATTATTTGAACCTACCAGTCACTTTTTGGGGAGAAAGACAAGTAGTCTACTTCGGTGAAGATGGGCAGCCCTGGAAGCCTGATGGGACAGCTCTGCTGTGTCCTATAGGGTTACTGTGAGCTTGAGTGAGTCCCCATGGTGGGTGTGTCAGGTTTGGTTTGTAAGTAGATTTTCCCAGTGGACTATGTTATCTGATTTCTGCCTGCTGCTTCAGTGGGCATTGATGGTGGGTCCAAGTGAAATAAAATCTTGGACAATTTCAATATTGTCTGTGTTCCTCACGATACAGCTCTGCAGCCTGGTTGTGAGGATTTTTGTTTTCTTTATGCTGAGGTGTAATCCATACTGAAGGCTGTATTCTTTCATTTTCACTTCCAGGAACCAGTATTGTGCCATCTGCATACTGCAGGTTGTTAACGAGTCTTCTGCCGGTTCTGATGCCCTTTTCTTCTTCATGTAGTGTCCAGCTTCTCTGTCCCATTTCTAGGGGTTTCTAGGAATTGAAATGAACTTGAAAACATCTAATAACAACAGCAACAAAAGCAACATCAACAATCATATGTTTTATTTGCCAAGAGGGCTTGGATTCTATTTGACACTTTTGGCTTTAGTAATGGGACGTTGTTATCTCAACACCAAGACTCACTTCTCTCTCATTGTAGTCAAGTAGGACTGACTCATAACTGACCCTTTAGCAAGTTTTCAAATGTTGTAACTCACGTGGGAGGAGACTGACCATCTTTCTTCTGAAAAGCAGCTGGTGGATTCAAACTGCCTGCCTTTGGGTTGTTGGTAGGGCAATTCCTTAACCACTATGCTATCAAAGCTCCCTAGGAAAAATGTGTCTCATACTGAGCTAGAGAATGGACAGACCTCTCCCGAGAGGAATTCCAGAAACTATGGGAAGATGCCTGAACAACTCACAGCATGTCTGTCCGCTCCTCTGACTATCCATTTAGATAGGTGCTCTTATCCTCGCTTGTAAGCAATGAAAATGAAGTGTAAAGAAATTAGGAAAACTTACCCATGACCACACAGCTATTATTTGGTAGACTCCAGATTCAAACTTCTGGACTATCTGACTACAGAGCCCCCTTTCTTAGCTGCTATCCTATACCTTCATTGGATGTTGACAAAACAGAATTTCTAGGGTTACTAAACTATAGGTGTTAGACCCTAGATTACGGTGACCTAAAGAGAGATTTCTCTCCAGGAATGCAATGACCAAGCAGACAACCAGGCAAAACTGCATGCCACTCCAAGACTCTCTGGCTGTAACAGCTCTGTCCTGCATGCAAAGTGGCCCTCCAGGGAGACTGCGGGGGTTAGAAGTGCACTCAGCTCAGAGTTCCTGTCTAGACTCTAATTCCCTGATTCCTGCTTCTGTATCTTTGAGCCAGTGGAGACACGGAGACAGGGGAGATCTCTCCGTTCCCTAGGCAGACATGAGACTTATTCTTCTTTGTTTCAGCTCACACTTTCCCACTGTATCTAGCACTAACTTCAGATAGAAAGCTGATAACATCTCTTGTGCATTTGTCAAGGTCATCCGAGTCCCATCCTTTTGTTCAGGCTGTTCCTTCTACCCAGAATTCTCTCATTTCCTTCCTTTTTCAACACAGCCTATCCATCTAGATGAGAATCGGGTCCTTGTTCTTCTGAGTCCTCCCTGCTCTCCTGTCTACAATGGGTGACTTAGGAACCTACAGAGGAAGCATCTGCCTTGGGTCTTAACACTTCTCTTGTCTTACCTGGATTTGTTTCATCTTAAAGATTAGGTTAGAAGCCAATAAAGGATTGGGACTATACCTTATCCACAGTCTGTCCTTACCTAGACAGCATAAAAGCATACTTTTAAAAAAAAATTTGGCAGAAATGCACACACACACACACACACACACACACCATCTCAAAAGACAACATAGTTCCATCAACGTGTAGAGGAATTTAGTAACAGAGAGAATTGGACTTGAATCCTAACCCTTCTAATTACTTGAGCAATTTACCTAGCTATTGATGTGCAAATACTAATTGAAGCCCTACTATGTTCCAAGTGCCATAGAAGGTACAAGGTACACAATGGTGGGTAAACAGATATAGTTACTGCCATCATGAAGTTCACAGTCTAGAGAAATAGGTAGTTATTAACCAGGTAATCTAACAACAACAACAACTTCTGATTACTTGCTTTGCATCTGAGAGCTGTACAACAAATAAGGATGACAGAAGAAGCATTGATGCCTTTGAGCTGTGGTGTTGGAGAAGAGCACAAAATATAACATGGATGACCAAGAGAACAAACAGATATGTCTTGGAGAGGGTGCAGCCAGAGTGCTCTTTGGAGGCAAGGATGATGAGGCTTTACCATACGTACTTCAGGCATGTTGCTAGGAGGGGCTATTCCTTGGAGAAGGCCATGATGATGGGAAGGATGCCAGGTCGGTGAAGGAGAGGAAGACCCTCAACCAGGTGAATTGACACAGTTATTTCTGCAATGGGCTCTGATGTGTTAGCAAGTGTGAGGATGGCACAGGATAGAACAGGGTTCAGATCTTTTGGTTCATAGGGTCTTTAAGAGCTGTACTTGACTCGATGGCACCTAACAACAACAAGCAGCAATACCAAGAAGGGCAAGTTCACAGAACTGAGAGGGTCATTGGGGGATTCTGTCTAGTAGGTTGGGAGTGGGTGAGAAACCACACTGAGCTTTAGTTTCTTTAGCTTGTAAATTAAGATATCACCCACCAGCCCACTGGGTTGTTTAAGGATTAAACATTCCTTAGATGTTCTCATGAAGTGGGCAGTGGTGGTTCTGTGGTACAACTCTTCCTTCCATGTGGGAGTCCGGGTTTGATTCTTGGCAGTACACCTCACACACCACTCGTCTATCCGTGTGTGGAGGCCTGTGGGCTGATAGGATGCTGAGTGGGTTTCAGCAGAGCTTCTAGATGGAAATGAAGTAGAAAGAAAAATCTGGAAATATACTTTCCAAAATCAGTCAGTTAGGCTTCGTCAGAGGCCCCAGTGTGCTACATGGTACTCATCTAGAATGAGTCATAGGAGAGGCCCAGGACTAGGCAGTGTTTAGTTTTGGTGGACATCAACTGTTGACCCAATGGCAACCAACAGCAACAGATGCTTTAAGGAATAGATGCAACACAGGGAATTTAGCAGGTAAATCTTACCACAGTGAAGGCTGGTAGGTTTGGCCATCAGAGTGGTTAGATGCTGAAGAGAATGGGAGTTAAGTGTATGTTAGCATTTCCTGGGCTTGACGATCCCCAGAGCAGTGATTCCTGGATCCGTTTTTTATCAGTCAGTGGGAAAGTTTTTTAAAAAATGCAGACAACAGCTCTTCACTCTATATCTACAAGCTGATAGGAATTTCCCACGGTGGGGGAGGGGGTGTCTAAGCAAGTTTAGTTTTAAATTCCTCCACAATACAAAATTAGAGTTAATACAATTTTAGCCTGGCTGTGGAAGCAATGCAAGGTCATAAAAAGAAAGAAAATGACAACTTCTCCCTCTCCTCTATCTCAGTTATTGGGGAGGGGGTCACCCAGGCTAAAGACAGAGGTGATGCTTTTTTAGTATCAGAGGTCTTCCTTACCTGTGTAAGGAATCTCACAGGTAAGCGTGGACATAGGGATTTTTTTTCTTGGCGGGGGGGTGTGTTACAAACTATTACCTCTTTCTTTGTATGCTATTTTTTATTGTGATCTGAATGAAGTTTGCAAATTAATTTTCATTTGACAATTCACATACATTTTATTCTATGACATCAGTTTCAGTATCCACAATGTAACCCAACTTCCCCCGTTTCCTTCTTGTACTTCTGTACTTTTCATTAATCCTCCTGCATCTCTCTGTGTCTTCTCTTTCTTGAGTGATATTGAGCTTATAAGCTCCTTACTGGATATTGCCTTACTCTTCTATCATCTTAATAGGTGCCTTTTGTCCATTTACTAATTAGTACTCTCCTGTCACTCTCTAGCCATCCATGATAACCACCCAAGAATAAGTCTAATGTGCAAAGCTTTCTTTAGCTGTTCCTAATAGTTATTTTATGCAACATGGGTCCTTTTGTGACCGGTTTTTTGCACATCTTCTAGATGCATCTATGCTATGTCATGCTTTGTAAATACAAAACTATTATCTTACTAAACGCTTTTCTCAGTTGTGGTGTTAGCTTAAAAGTTGGCCTTTCTAGCCATTACATTAGCTCCCTCTGGTCTCCAGTTACCTTAACTGTAGACATAGGTCTTGCAAATCATCAACAGCTGTTGAACTAGATTAAGAGATAGAGTGCTTCTCACACTGAATGGCAAGGCTTGAAGGAGACTGGAGCAAGACTCGAGTGAGAGTG